GGGGGGCAAAAGGCCCATCGTCTTCCTCCTCCCTGGATCCGCCTTTGAGGCTAATGTGGGGCTTCGATTTCCTAGTTTTATAAGAAAAAATATGGCAAATTTGACATCCAGGATTGCGTCAGTATCAATTTATCATCGAAATGAATGAACGGATAGGAAATTTTTTGGATTCCTGCATTTTTTTTTTTTTTTCTGACTTCTTGTTTTAGAAAGTCTTACAAAATATTTGTAGAAAGTTAAGACATAGTATTTTTCAGCAGCATCAAGCAGTTGATCGGCGCAGGCAGACCTACTCCTTGAAAGATAAAAGGGAAAACGATAATTCTTGTGCCGCTGAGGTATCGCAGGAAAGCCAGTCGCCAGCTATGAGCAATTTTTGGTCATTTATCGATAAAGATGGGAAAACTTGGCCGGATATGCCACCTACACCTAATGTAAGCACCATTTTAAGCGACGACTCCGAAAATATGCAAAATGCCTTCATTTTTGGGCAGAGATTTTTTTTTGCATTGTAAATTTTGTAAAAAATTCCGAATTTTTCCCTTAATCTTTTCCACGTAACTGCTCACATATGCCGGTAACAGGCCAAACTTAAGTGGGAATTTCTTCATAGACCTATTTGAGGTGCGGTATCTATAGCAGTAGCTGAAATTCATATTCTTGTTCTTAATCTATACAGCTGGCAACTTCCCCAGTTGCTCTGACCAGTGCTCCGCTTCTCGGTGGCTATATTACTGGTGATCCTCTCATCCGCTGAAGGGATCATCAAATTTTTGCAAAAATTTCGAATAAAAAATTTTTGTAAAAAATTTCGAATTTTTTCCTCAATCTCTTCCATGTAATTGCTTATAAATATATGCATCCCGTCGACAAAAGCACTGTGTGGGGTTACCCGGTAATATCCCTTTTTCATAATCTCTCGATTATCTTTCCATCTTTTTTAATCAGAAATTATACTTTTTTTGGGGAAGAAGGGGAGCGAGCAAGCGGAACGGGCAGGGGGAGGGGAGTAGAGGGCAAAAGGAAGCACTGGAAATTGGTAATTTCTCGGTTTTTTTTGACCTTTTTCGTAATTTCTCGATTTTTTTAAATCTTCTTGATCAG